TAAATAAATATTATTATTATTGTGATTATTATATTCCCGATGCCATCTGGAATGTTGCGTTGTAACGTTAATCCCGTCCCGAATGGGGCTTTAGACTTTAATCATCGTACTACAATTTCTACTACTTTGAAAACAGATACACTGGTAATGGTTTTCCCAGTTTGGCTGGACTCACGGTGCCTGCGGGGCTGTTTGGGCTGTCCCTCATGATGCCCGTCTCCGTCGTGGTGCTGGTCTCGTCCTCGCCCTCGTCCGTCTGAATGTCTCTTCCAGCCGCGTCCCCGAGGGCCTCCGCCCTGCTTCTTGCTCAGATCGAAGAAGAACTGACGGGCCGGCTCCTGAAAAGACGACAGGAAGCGCGAAGACTGGGTTGAGTTTTCAAAATAAATAACGCATTACATAAAAAGGAATACAGGAAGGCTTTTTGGGTGAGGTGAATCTCCATAATACGGCGGTGTGACCACATTCTTCGTCATGATGAAAACAAGCACAAACTCTCTCTCTCTTTACCTCTTCCTCTGTGGCGCTGAAGCCGCTCTTTTGTTTGTCTGTCTTGTCTTTGGTGGAGCATCTGTAGGGGTTTTCTGTCACATCCTGCGGCTGCTTCACCAGCTCTGATGAATCCATGGTCTTCATGGGGATTATGTTGAAGGCGTACAAATACTGCAGCAGTCACACAGACAGACAGACAGACAGACAGACAGAAAGCTCAGGATGTGATGGTGTTACTGTGTTACCCCATGTTGTTGTTAACTCATGTTGCAGGTACAAACTGGACACCAAACCACAATAACTGACTTCCAGTTGATTTTAGAGGACCTGTATCAACCTCTCCCCTTAACCTATGGCAGAACATTTGCCTCTCCAGCCTTTTCGCACTCGTCACAGTTTGAAATCTCCATAGTGTCTACAAAGATGATTTAAATAAAATGCGATTAGCTCGTTGCTTAAATCAAAGCCTGGCATTCACACACCTTCTTTTTGGCGGGGTTGTTGACGCTTGCCAGGGCGATGAAGCGGCTGACGTGCTGAGCGTTTTCCTGGAGAATAACATGATTCCTGAGGATGGATAATGGAAACACGCACAGTACCGTTAACACAGAGTGTAACAGAGGGAGAGTCAAGAAGTTAAATCCACTGGTACGTCAGTCGGCAGTGGTGGAAGAACTTTTAAGGTGCTTTACATAAGTAAAGGCACCAAAAAAAAATAAAAGTACTGCTATCAACATTTTAAAGTAAAGAATTATCAGCAAAATGTTAAATTATCATTATTATTAGATTGTTAACTTTATATACAGTTTAGTATTTTAATCCAGTGGTTCCCAACCTAAGGGCCGGGCCCCAACATAGAGTCTGTGTGGGAGAATTGATCTACTTAGTGGTCAATGTTTGTCAGTCTGGTCACATTTTCTTCCAGCTCTGTCAGTCCTTCACACTGTACATTATATTATGAAACTTATTTAGACAAATTCAAGCACGAGCAGATGTCAGTCTACACACTGCGACACATTCACACTTCCGATGAAGACAGGAAGTTAAAAGACAAAATAATGGGAGTCAGAGCACTTCCTTGTTGCTGAAAGGTGAAAAGAGAGCCCTCCACAACTGTTCGGTCTACCTGTATGGGAGTCTTTCGTAGTGAGCGCCCTCTAGTGCAGCAAAGTGGTATCGTGGTTTCAGTTTGTCAGCGAGGTTGGCGACGGAGCCGCTACCACAGAACTTAGTGTTCACTTCCTGCGACAGAGACACATGAAAACAACAGCAGAGCCTTAATTCTTGACCTTGGAAACAGCAGCTGATAAATCAACCTCACTATAAGATCCATTTAGTGGCTGTTCTGGAGCTTCTGACAATATATCACAGGCTTCTTCAGCTGTATTGTATATATTCTGGACTTGAATTTCCTCGTTACCGGGTTATTTCCGTAATGCCACACTCCTCGGGGCCACTGTGACGTCAGCAGGATGTCGACACCTCTGAATTTAGAGTTGCTGGTCAGCGGAGCCACGAGGGCCGACAGATCTTTGGACGTGAAGCAGTGAGCCGGGGCCGGTTCCTGCAGGGCCTCCCGACCGCTGACGTAGGCTATCTGTAATCCTGAAACGCCCGTGAACACACCTCGCCGCCCTGAAACACACACACATACAGATCAACATGTTTAATAATGGAAACTATATATCACAAACCAAACCTCCGGGTACATCCCAATTCCCTTATTTGATCGATCATTGCTCCACCTAGAAAACATTTCAGAGAGTCTGTTGCCTTTCAGCAATAAACACATGTTGCCTAAATCTCTACAACATAGGTGGCACAAGCCGTAGAGTCACAGACGCCACATTTATGGGAAATACGCCAGGTTGAAATATACCAGAATGTCCCGTAAATGTTTTCTCCTAACTTGTATCCTTTCCTTGCATGTAAGTCCCTCCACTTTTTGCACTTAAGGGAATTGGGATGTACCCATATATACAAACTGGTCCCACCCAGATACGTGATGTTGTCGGCCAGCTCACAGCCATCAGCGCTGGGGAAATTCTTCACCGTCTCCTGGCTCGCCGCTCCGAGGATGTAAGTGTGGATGGGAGCTGAGGAGGCACAAAAGAGACTTTAGTCCGATTTCCTCACCAGCCGATCAAAATGCGGAATCCAAAATACTGTCTATTAGCCTGTTTTTCACTGTTTTACAAAGATGTTTCTTTTGTAATAAAAAATAAGAGAGATAAGGGGATTTGATGCAACAAAGGTTCATGGCAAAAAGCAGTGATTTTACACTGAAGGCACAATAATGCTGTATAATAACCCAAATTAAACAATAAAAAAATACATGCTTTAAACTTTTCTCTTCAGTTGGTGTAAAATTTACAGCGTGTCACTCAGATGTTCCTACCTTTCTTGGCTCCATCTTTGTACTGCTGCCACTCTGCTTCAGCCTCTGGTGTCGTTCCAAAAAACTCTCCAACGCACAGCAGCAGCTGCGAGAAAAAAGCACAAAAACATCAACACGCTGATGAGCCACAACTTAAAGGATGATGTGACCAACTTCAGGTTAATTTACTGTCTATCTACAAAGACCCTAATGGACATGTTTCAGAATCAGACTGACTGACTCACATCAAACTCTCCGGTCTTCTTCTGGATGGTCTGGACTCGATTGAACAGAGCGTTTAGTCTGCCTTCAACATCCCCACATGCCAACCTGAAAATATATTATATGAACATACATATCAACAAGACATCATGGGGCATAAACATTAAGGACTCTGAATAAACAAACAGTGACTCTACTGGTTTTGCATTTAAAAAACTCTCACATCATGTTCAGCGCTCAATTTGTGTGTTTTGGTGGAGTGAATGTAAGCCGAAATCTTCTGTCCCCACTACCGATAGGCTCACGTTTCTACAACACGTCTTATGATGTGTGTAAATGTGTAGATAAGCAACGCAACCTTTAATTATCTAAATTTTGAACGAGGTTCGGTGAGAGTCGTTGAGTTCCGTATGTGATTTAGTTGGAAATGAAACAACTTGAGCTACTTTTAAACTTCTAAGAAACTCCTGTGTTGTCCCGCATATCCACAAAGGCTTTTATAAATGTGTTTTATGGTTTTACTAGACAGTGAAGTCTTAACTGTCGCATCATGTTGAAGACGAAATAAAACACAACACAGATTCAACCACCACATTTAACGAGATGAAACGCCATTAAAGCCGCAGTTTAAGTAGCGCATTTATAAGGTTAAACTTACACTCTCACTGGTTGTTCCCCCATGCTTAGCTAATTTATTGATAGAAGTACAAAAAAATGTGTGTTTTCGATTTTTGCAGCTTGGATGTCCCGTTCTTCGCCAATAGTGGTCCGATCGAAATAAAAGCGGAACCACTTCCGTCTCAATAAATCACGCATCGTTAACCTACAAAATGTAGCTGCAGGATATTCATTTAAAAATATTCACATTTATTTAGTGTTAATGCCGATTATTAATTTCTACTTCACATTATAGATAAACATAAAATTAATAAGTCAGGTTGTTACCCGGACAGAGTTTAGAGCAGACAGGGTGGTTGCCAGGTTTGATTCTTACACGCAAACTTATTACACACTTTAATCACATAATTGCTTATTTAATCACTTATTAGATATTTACTGAGCTTTTAACCGCATCCCGGTGTTCATCAGTGATCTTTAAGTTTAGATTATATTTTTGTATTTATATTTATTGTTAAATTTTTCTGTATGTAATGATAAACAAAATTCAAACAAGATTAATTAATGTTGAAATAAACATACATTATGTTTTGTGTAATTTAAAATTGAATAGAAAAGAATATCTGAAGTGCATAATGTGTAAACCAGTTCCATTTATTTGTTATCTGTGTTTCTGAGTTGCTGAAATGTATCATTTCCTCATATATGTTCCTCTTTTTTTATAATTGATGTAAATTTTTTTATTGATTTTGGCTTGAAGAAGAGCATGTGTAAATAGTAATTTGGAAAGTGGGTAAATTATTTATAATCATTTGATTTGAAGACAGGGGTGAGGATTTATTTTTTCTTCCTCCCACTCCTTTTCGGGAATATTTAAATAAACCGTCTTGGTCCTTGGTTGTAATTGTTATACTAATTAAATAATTTATAATAATAATATAATAATAATAATCTTTATTTGTAGAGCACTTTTCAAAAACAAGTTACAGTGCTTTAACAAGTGTAAAGACAAAAACAATAATACAGAAACAATATAAGATAAAAGCAAGAAAACATAGAAAAGACTAAAATACACGTTTAAGATAAATATAAAATAAGTAAAATAGAATTACTATTTAATTATTTATTAACATGTTATTTAATCCTTTTCTTTTTTTTTAATTGTTATTTCTTTACGGATGTTTTTGTTTTACACATTTTCAATAATAAATAAATAAATAAATGAATAAAATACAGACATTTTTAACGGTGTTTGTAACATTTTACGGAGAATCCTCTTATCTGGCAACCCGCTGGGCCTCGGACGGCCGACCCTCCATCCTGGCACTTTACCTTCATCCTGGTAACTTACAAGTCCCCGGACCAAAAACAGGAAGTAAGTAGCCAAATCAAAAGTAAAATTCAGTTTCTGTTTGGTAGTCGGGGCCGAGGGGAGCGCAGAAAAAGCTCCGAGTGGGAAAAATCGAGGATAAATCGCTAAAGCACCGTCAAAGCGCCCATACGCCTTTACCTTGCAGTCTAACATGGCGCCGGAGACTTTTCGTCTCTTTCATTTAGCTGTGCAGCTTGCTGGATGCTAGTGGTTAGCATAGAGCTTCACCAGTAGCGGAATCCTGTCTGTCTCTTGGACTCATCACCTCCACAATACCGCTAGGATGCTTTTGTCTATTGTAACGTTGGCGAAAAGAAATGTTTTTGCAGTCTTCATCATAGAAAGTCACGCGTCCATCTCTGCGCTGAATCCCAGTGTTTTTTCAGCGTTGTTCCAAATAGCGATGCAGAACTCAATTTAAAATATCACCAATTGTGCAGTCATGCTGATTTCCGACCAATAAATACACTGCTGCTTTTAGTTTTAAAAAGGATCGAGCCTACAATTTGGCATACACACTGTCCCAACAAGCACAACACATTATCACAAATTATGGCCAATTTACGGGGTTGGCTTGCTGCTGCGATTGAACATCTTTATGGTTTCCACTGGAAAACAGTGGAGGGCGGTAGCGAGCAGTTAAAGCTTTACTTGATTTTTACTGAAATTACTTACTTATTTGTGGATCACTTCTCCCCCGATTTTACCCATTCTAACTATTGATTAGTAAAATGTCATAAGAACTGATGTGGGAGTTGAATGCTTGTGCCGATTTTCAATTTGGCTTTAAATTGGTTTATTTATGAAGGGAGTTTGGTGTGAATGCAAATGAGTGTAATGTTTGCACCCATTGCAGACGTTCGTTTAAAAAAACAGCAATTTATCACTGATTGCCATAAATCCATTTAATACCCATTATAACATATTTCTACAAATTATTGGTCAGTTAACTCCCCTCCATATTGTTTCCACCAGGCTGCTAACTTTATTAAAATACCCAACTTGTTTATGAATCATGATTTTTATAAATTGAGCTACTTATTATGAATTGCTGTTGCCTACATAATCATGATTAATGTCTTAAAGTGAAAATTATTGTCTGCTGTACTGGACAATACCTGCTTTATGTTTATGTATTTTGGCAAATAAACATTTTTTATATTTTTTTTTATGTCCTGAAGTGCCTCATATTAAAAGTGTTTATAACGTTTTGTCCACCCCATTTACATTCGCCCTACATGAAAGTGGCAGTCAGTTAGATTGTACAGGTAAATCTAATAAAGTGGCCAGTGAGTGTTTTTACAGTATGGAGACCAGATTTTAGTTAATCAGCAATGATTTTGTTAATCATTTCAGTAATTTTCTTTAAGTAAAAATGCCAGATGTTCTATGGTTCCTGCTCCAGTGTGTACAATTGCCAAATATCTCTGTTTTATATCATTTTAAATGAAATATTTTTGGGTGGTTGTTGTACTGTTGTCACCAAAGTATCTTGAGATAATGAGATTTTTCTCTATTTTGTGACAATTTCTAGACCAAACAATTTATTGAGGAAATAATCGAGCGATTAATTGAGACCTTAGATGGAGACCATGTTAAAACGTGTCAGTTTTAAAAGCAGCTTCCACAATATAAACAGTAGTTGCCAGTTCTGCTTTTTGATGACGATTGATCGGAACTTAAAGTCCTTCCCTTTCAGGTATTTATGGCCATGAATACTGCCATGATAACAGCAGTCAGTGTGTTTTATTTATCACCAGGTGTGCGATGAGTTCAGCAACAGAAGATGAGGAGGCTGCAGCGTTAGAAACTGTCAAGTCGGTCACGCTCACTCAGGACAGTGATGGAAGCATCATACTGCACTGTCCTCACAACGGTGGGTTAACACATAAATGTCTTTCGTCCTGGCTTTAATTTCCTTTTTGGTCTTATTAACATTATCCACCTTCTCTACTGTAAGAATCTGCTGCTTTGCTTTATATTATGTGCCAGTAAACGGAATATTTCTGGGCTTTTGAACTGTTGGTCGGACAAAACAAGACATTTTAAGACATCTAAGACATCTATTTTCTGACAATTCATGAACCAAACAATCGATTAATTGGGAAAATAATCTGTAAAGTAATTAATAATGAAAATAATTGTTAGTTGCCGCCGTGGTTTTATGTAAACAAGCCTATTTACTACATTACATGTGTTAATTATGTGTGCGTAGATGAGGACTTGGAGCCCCTTCAGAAGAAAGTGCGCCTCTCTACTGAAGAACAGGACGACTCGGACACACCTCAGTTCTCCGTGGTGACCTTACCGAGTGAGAAACACATAATGTTTAATCCCAACATCCACCCTATTGTTCAGACTTCCCTTTGGAGGAGTGAGAACCAGGCAAAACCAAAATCCATTTCTCAGTTTCTTGATAATAATAAAAAGACACCCACATACTAATAAGGATTTTGTTATGAGTAAATAAACACAAGATATTCTTCCCTGTAGCTGTGAAAACTTTTTCTTTCTCTCTTTCATCCCCTCAGTATCGGAAAACGACGAGGGCTTCGAGGTGACGATGACGGCCACGGCAGACGGGGATCTCTCTGAGGAAGGTGTCGCTCAGATTCAGGTACAGATAAATGAACCAGCACTTACTTCCTCGAACTTCTCTCAAACTTCTTTTAGAGCCAAAATGATTTGTGAATTTATTCTTGGACCACTTTATTTTAAGGAGTTTCTCCTAACTCTCCCAGTGAGGAGCTACTTTTTATCTTCAAGATGTTTTGTAAACAGCCCCAACTACCTTTTATTAAGACACATCGAACCTCATTTGAAAATGTGATAAAATAAGCTGGAAACAGCGATTGTTTTAAATTCATTCGAAGATTTTTTGAATAATCAAAATTATTGTTGATTTATTCTCTTGATTGGCCAAACAATTGATGGACTAATTGTTTCAGGACTGCTTGTAGTTTAAATACTGAAATCTCTGTTTTTTTTTACAAAGCTTTGGTTTTGATGAATTTGCGGTTGCTGTCTGAAAAATGCCTTTGTGTGTGTAGATTCTGCAGGAGGATGAGGACTCTCTCTCGCCCGATCAGAAGGCAGAGGTGTCACCTGTCAGTCAGGCCTGGTTCACTACAAAAGAAGACAAAGACACACTGACTAACAAAGGTATGTAAAAGGGAAGCTACGAGGCTGTTTGGGCCCTGAGGAGACAGAAGGGAAGACCTGCAGACACTACTCAGGGCCAAAAAAAAGTACATTACCACCTCTGCATGTCTTTCAGGTCATAAAACATATCACTTAAAATATCTTTTTATTTCTTCTTAACCTCAAAACAGGAAACATGCACGAATGAAATGCCCTGTAAAGTGTTCTATCCAACATTTCTTCCACTTCAGGTCATAAGTGGAAACAGGGCATGTGGTCCAAAGAGGAGATTGACATTCTGATGAGCAACATCGATCGATATGTAAAGGTACGTTACTTTCTGTCACTGTGTCCGTCTTTATTTCCGTCTTCACTGCATCTGAAGATGTCAAGTTCTGCTCTGTACACGCTGTGTTTGTGTTTCAGGGCCGCGGCATTGAAGACCCAGCAGAGATCATTTTTGAGATGTCCAAAGAGGAGAGGAAGGATTTCTACCGCTCTGTGGCCTTGGGGTTAAACAGGCCGCTGTTCGCCGTCTACAGACGAGTTCTACGAATGTACGACAACCGCAACCACGTCGGCAAGTGAGTTCTGGAAAAGATGGCGGGGAAACACATCTTCACGACTTTATTTCTCATTTTTAATAGTAATTTGTTGTTGTTTTTTTACCCCTAAGGTATACTCCTGATGAGATAGAGAAGCTAAAAGCGTGAGTAAATCCTCTTGTCTTCTTTTAACGCAAAAACAAAAAGACATGTATGTTTTATATATATATATTGTTTGTATCTGGTTTCAGGTTGAGGGAGAAACACGGGAACGACTGGGCGACTATCGGATCAGCTCTGGGTCGCAGTGCTTCTTCTGTCAAAGATCGCTGCCGACTAATGAAGGACACATGCAACACAGGTACAGAGGAGTGTGTGTAACTCCATTTACTTACTGTTATCTATATTATCTGGTACGGAGATAAGAAAGTAAATCAGACCACTTTGGATTTGTTGGTGCTTTTTTACATTAAAAAAAAGAGCTAGGCTAGCAGTTTCCCCCTGCCTCCAGTCTTTGTGCTAAGCTAAGCTAAAAACGTCCCAGATGTATCTCTGGGATCGATGAAACTAGTGTTTCTTCTTCATCTGCTCACCTACAGTACGTCTGGGTAACGTGGCGAACGAGAGGGGCTCCCAAAACGTCCGACTGTTTCTTATACAGCTGAAGTCACAATATATTTGTTTCTCATTTACATATATTTGCACATATGCACATTTTCTGTTTCTGTTTTAAGACAACTGAAAGAGTAAGAAATAATAATTAAATCAAGACCCATAGATGTTATTTGACATTAACATGAATCCACGTTTGACAAGAGCTCTGCGGTGTATTGATCGATATTGATATTTAAAATAAATAAACACAGAAAATGTTTAGACTAAAGGTTGTCTTCTTAACTATTCATAGTTTTCAGTCATGTGACATGCGGTGACCCGGTGGGGAAAACAACGGACCAACAAAAGCAGTCAAATTTTATTTGGATCACTTTTCAACTTAAGAAAAAAAAGATATGAACACAAACTGCAAGTTCTACCGTTAAAAACCGCCAGGTAACCACTGGCAGCGCTCAACTGCGGTAATGTTTATTTTAACCTTCTGGAGAATCCCTCACCTAACACAGCTCAGGCTGGTCTCCTCCTCCATTAGTAAATCCGAAAGCACAACAATCATCCAGCATTTTGGCAACGCATTTTGAAACGGAGAATGTGGACATACTCTGAACCAAAACGTTAAAATTACAGGCCATAAAACCCGAACAATGAGCTGAAAAGACATAGAGACACATCACATGTCTGAATACATGTGATTTATTGGGCGGTTCTATCACGAGATTATCATATTTACAGAAAGATTTACTTTGGTCGCCTCTGTATTGACCTCCCAGCAGACTGATTTCAGTTAGAGCGTTGGATTTGTCGTGGTTTTGTTTTTTTTAAACAGGTAAATGGACTGAGGAGGAGGAGAGGCGTCTCACCGAGGTCGTCTACGAGATGGCGGGCGTGTCGCCGGGGTCGGCGGTCACAGCAGGCGTTTCCTGGGCGACGGTCGCCGATCAGGTTCGCACGCGCTCAGAGAAACAGTGTCGGTCGAAATGGTTGAACTACCTGAACTGGAAACACAGCGGAGGAACGGAGTGGATGAAGGAGGACGACCTCAACCTCATACGCAGGTGCGGAGTTGTGTAGTAGTGTAAATACACATTATAACATAACGGCATCTTTATAAGTTAACAACGTGTGTTTCAGGATATCGGAGCTGGAAGTGGAGGATGAGAATGAAATCAGGTGGGAGGATCTCGCAGGCGGGTGGAGCAGCGTCCGATCGCCTCAGTGGCTGCGATCTAAGTGGTGGAGCATCAAGAGACAAGTAGCCAATCACAAGGAGATCCCCTTCAGCGGTACACAAACTCTGGACGTATTTTTGTCTAAACTTCATTCGTTTTAATTGTTTACTTTTTGATTGTCTTTTACGCTTTTGGTTTTAAATCTGCGATTGTCTTTTTATGACGTGTCCCGATATTATTATTAATATAATTATAAACCACAGAAAACTGTTGACGCTCAAACAACGTGTGTTATGTGCGTGTCCGCAGTGCTCCTGAAGGGTCTCCAGGAGCTGATGGCGTCATCGCAGACATCGTCCGGACCGGGAAGTCCCTCCTCCTCCTCCTCCTCCCTCCAGATTCGACTCACCCGATTGGAGGAGAGCAGTGGCAGCCCCGCCCCCGGCTCCGTGGCCGCGCTGCAGATTCCCTTGCAGATCCCGCTGCAGATCACACACATGGGTGAGACTAACTAGCATCTGTGCATTGTACTTAAATAAATCTCAGTGGTAAATGCTGAAGATAAAGACTTTGCACTCCAGCTGTGAGTTGTATGTCATCGATTCCTGATTCTTGAGTCTCTTTGTTGTTTCTTTGTAAGCCTCAGATTCGTCAGCAGCTGCCAGCGACAGTGAAACCATCACTCTAAACACAGGAGCCCTGCAGACCTTCGAGATCCTGCCTGTAAGCACAACATGTTATTTTTCACAGCCAACACTGGTCATCATGTTAAACCCGCCGGAAGCTGGAATTATTTGGCCATATTTGGAGTTTTGAACAAGACATTTCCAAGTGTACATGTTTTCTAGATGCCCCTGAGAGATAAAGTTCTAGTTTGATCTACTTAGTTATTATTTCATTGGGCTTCCCGTGGAACAAATACGTGGACTTCCTAACCATTTAGACAAGGCGTGGGCCTCCTTCTAAAATTGTTTACATTGTAGTTTGTAGATATCTAAAATTTGGGTGATGCTAACAAGCTCAGAAAGCTAGTTAGGACGGCTGGCTCAGTGATTGGAGGAGGAGCTAAGCCTCCAGAGAACAACGTCTCCCACCCGCTCCACCACATGCTGGTTGAGAAGAGAAGCGTCCACTGAGCAGCCGGTGGCCACCAAACAGTTTTAACGCCTCCCCGCTATAGTCGCAGTGTGGACATCAGTGGACTGGGAGGCTGCTGAGGTCTTACTGGGCTCCCTAATTGGACTTAAACATTACACTTCCTTAACCTCTGGCACAGTGCAATACATACATTTTTAACTTATAATTTCGTTAATTTGCACACCTGTATTCCCGTGCTTAAAAGGGTATTCTTTAACCTTTCTGTGCTGTACGTGTCGTTTGTTTTTTGCACTATTCTTTGTGTGGTTTGTTAATGTACTGCTGCTGTGACATGTAGGGTCTAAATCCAAAACGCCATCAATCTCCGCTTTTGGTCATAGTGTCCAGAGAACTGTTTTATCTCCAATTAAAGTTTTATAATTGCTTCGTGAAGATACTTGAGCGGAGGGTTAGGGTAAGCAAGGCCCACCATAAACTTCAGTGCATCTGGATCTTTTGTCTTACATGTTAGCCCAGTTTTAAAATTAAGGTGAAAGAATCCCGCTTGTGTAAGCTTCTGGGTTTTTTTTATTCCTGAACAATGCTGTGTGAGTTGCCCTAAAGAAAAACCAAAACTCTGAAGTAGGAATCAGGGATGCTCAAAGGAAGACAGGACAAGATATAATGAATCATTTTCATTTTAAATGTCCTCACTCCCTCATCTTGTTCACTTTTCAGTCCTTCCACCTGCAGCCCACCGGCACCCCGGGGACCTACTACCTGCAGACGACGTCCAATCAGGGCCTGCCGCTCAGCCTCTCCACCAGTCAGGGCCTTCCGCTCGGCTTAGCCAATAACAGCACGGTTACCCTGACGACAGGCTCCTCTCCCTCATTGCATGAACACATCATCCTTCACAGCCTGTCGGTCAGTTTCTTTGATGAAGCGTTAAAACTGCGGTGCAGCGACCAAACACTTCATTCACGTGTGCGTTTTCCCTCCCCAGACGGACGGCCTCTGCTCCGGCGACGGCGTCATCATCCAGACAGTCACCTCTGACCCTCTCAGCCAATCACAGCTGGTCGTGGAGACAGAGGGGCAGAGCCAGAACGACAGCCTCGACGCTACAAGTCTCCTGGAGGGTTCAGAGAACGCTGTCACAGAAACTCAGGAGCCAATGACAGGCGGCTTCACCGACAAGGTAGGAACACGGATTTCTGCATACAACATAATAAATACACATGCTTTTAATTTGAAAAACGAATAATAAATTACACACTTAGTACTCGAAGCCTCTACAGATTATTTAATCGATGCATCGTTTAAGAAGTACTTTTGCTTGATAGAGCGGGTGCTTTCTGATCAGATGCAGTCGTGCTGTTGCGGTGGGCGACATAAGTTTTGTTTCACGCTGGACGAACATTACAGAGTTGTTGTTTTTCCTTAAGCTTAAAATAATCCCACGCTTTGGACACTTTCTTCTTCGTCTCTCGCTTCCTCCACTTTGCAAACAGCAGCATCATAATCACGTCGTGTTCACACAGCGTAAGCGTCATGTGCGACAGTAATAAATGTCCGTGCAAAACAGTGCGCTATATAGTTATATGGATTAAATGAAGCGTCGATGCTTTTAGTAATCGAATTAATTGATGTAATCGATGAATCGTTTCCGCTCGACTATCAATCCATTTTTAATAGCCTTTAATTTGCTTTTATCAGTGCCAGCCTTTGCTAAACGGCTCGTATTGCTGCTCCTCTGTTAAGTCAAATCTGTCCTTTTTGTCTTATAATATAAACCAGTTTATTAGGTACAACCAGCTAAAACGAATAGTCCTGCAATAAATCTTCCCTCCATGAAGTTTGTAATAGTTTCTAGTTTTTGTTGACACTCTCAGAAAGGTGATAAATAACAAATGTAAAGTAGAACTATCACCTTTCTGACTGTGAAGAAAGACGAACATTTCTAAGGTCTGTAAAAGTAGAATTATTATATATATTTTATGACCTAATTACATTAGGTTATCCATGTGTACCTAATAAAGTGGACAGCGAGTGTATAATGACATTTCAAAAGACACTGTCATTAAAACAATCAAGGTGTGATAGATAACAATGGCATTGTCAAGGTGGAGCTCAAAGTGTGTGTGTGTGTCTGTTTGTATCAGGAGCTGAGCTCCCCAGTGGAGGGTCCAGTGGTGCATTCTGGGATAACATCTGGCAGCGCCGTGCTGATTGTGTCTCCTCCCAACATCAGCAGCACTCTGACAGGTAACACACACACAGTTAGCTGCCATTAACACAACCCAGTCTCTGATAAGGAAGAAGAATATGTGGAAAAAGATCTCTGGATCTGCCGCATTGATTTTTGATTCAATTTTTGATTTTTAGCAACGCTAAATCGGTGGAATACATCTTTAAAAAAACATATTGCCTTAAAATTAGAAACATTTCCTTATTTAGGTAAATATCTGAAGAAATAATAAGTAAATAATGGATGATGGTGTTTCTGACAGCGAGTGGCTGCTGCTAAACAGAGCCGGTTGGAGGTTAAAATAAAGAAACGGTTAATGTACAACAGTGAATGGTGAGAATAAAATACTATTTATGGATCCAAGCAGAGAAGCTGCTGGAGCCCTGTTCTTTTTGTTATGATTATTCTTCTTTCTTTCTGGCTTCATTTAAAGTCAAACTTATTTCATCATTTTAATCTCTAGATTCATCTGCATGTTTGCTCCAATGGTCAATCACTTTTCTCCTAAACCTATTTTTGCGATCTCGTCCCAGACGGTTGTTTTTTTTTCATAATTTTTTTACTTTTGTGTATTTACATACAATTTTACATAAAAGCCCGTTAAAAAAAAATTGGCTTAAGTTATTGTCACCAAACTTGACGCGTCTGTTCAGATGCTCAGTCTGACCCTCGCTGAGCTGTCCAAATGTTCAGAACTAGGTTATGATTAAGATTAGGAAGTTTTGCTAACTTGTCTCAGACCAGATGGACACCCTGCCCTGAGCTTATTTTCTACATAAATAAAAAAGCAGTGGTTATCAGCTGAGATGGCTCAACAATACATTTGAAGCTTACGATTGCAAAACTGTACATCGACCTCCGTCTCTGTCCTCAGATCCGATCTTGGAGAACCAGGAAGGCTCCGACTGAGCTGGACGTCCATCACGTCAGATGGTGATTAAAGGCTGGACCAAAGGAGGAGGCTGCTTCCTGTCTCTTTCTTCCTCTGATCCTGCTAAAGTCCTGGACAGGACGCCACCACCTGTCTGCTTCAAAGACTCCTCTCCTGTTTAAAACCAGGACTTGAACAGGTTTTAAAACGGACTTGCGTGTTTGTAAATGAAACAGAACTTGAGAATCTGTGTGAAGCTTAACATGTTTAAAGCTTCATACTCGAACCCCTGGATGAAATGTGAGCCCTTGCAGCCTCTGCTCGTGCCAAAGAGACCCTGAAGGCTGGGAGGGATCTGAACTGACCCTTTTCCCGTAAAATAAAATGAACAGTTAATAATGTAAACATGAATTTGAACGATTCATGCGATTATAAAAATAAACTATTTCAATTTGTGTCACTTTATTTTAAATGATGACAACATTGTGTGGAAGCTCACTTCTATACTGTTGAAGAACATTTAGTGAACACATCAGGGATTTCTATCTGTCCAGTTAGGAAGCAAAAGCATGTTTTTGCAAACCTGATAGATGGATATGAGCGGATATCATATTATACAACTATTCTCTTTTGAGCCCCCCTTTTTTTGTTTTTGCTTATATTTGTTGGACCAAAACACAGAATGAGTTCAAATTCAAAAACAACCATCTTCATTTCCAGTTAATTGAAAATCAAGACAAAACCACAGTAAGTTTAGATTTAAGGTGTCCGTCTGCTTGCAAAGAGGCTAAACAGAAACACCTTGTCATTAATTTCCTCTGTGCTAAGACACTGTTGGGTTTCTCTCATACTCGGTCTCTTGGCTTAAACTGCGAAAACCACAACATGATTTCAACAGCAGACTGCACTTTGTGTCCAATGTTACCGAGTGAGTTCCTGTTTACAACTTGACACTGATGCCTTTGCAGTTTTAGCTTTATGAGTCAGAAGCAGAAATGTAGAGCTCAGTTTGAACAGTAGACGTTACGATTACAGAAGTAAAACGGGCGGCAGAAGAAGAAGAAAACATGAGCCAATAAATAGTGCAGCATGTTGATCTACAGCTGTCTAAGAGTGTAGTTCTTCATTAAGACCACAGAGAGGCAGCAAATTCCATATATTTATCTCTAATATATAATATGTTCCTACCTGCCTGATAATGAGATTTAAAAAACTGTTACTGTTAAGATTTTCAGTCATTTCATTATCATATTTAAACTGTTAATCATTAGTGTCACTTCAAGTCAAAGTAGAAAAAACTATTGCTTAAACTGTGTTGGTAAAATATCTTATGTTTGTCCACGTCAGGTGGAAGTTCTGTAGAAAAAAAAATAAGAGTAAATCAGAGTTAGTACGTTTTATTAGTTTAAATAATTCCCATCAGATCATCACCATCTGTTCAGAGCAGAAAAACAAAGCTCCAGTCAGCTGTAATTTCTATTTTCCACTTAAATTAACTCAGAGACAAAACTTTCTTTCCACAGCAGCTCATTCAACACAACGAAAAAAAAACAAATATTGTTTCAAAACATACATTAATAAAATATTTTCCTCATGGAGCGACCAGCTGGTGAATTTGAATCCAGTGCTTTGCAAAGCTGTATGTCTGTCAGGAGTTTGTTTTACCTGTGTGTGTAAAAATAAGTCAAGATAAACTGCATTAGTGAGCTTCAAAGGTGTTTTTACTTTGAACAGAGCTCGGTTAGCTGTTTCCCCCTGCTTTCTGTCTTTATGGTGAGCTAAGCACACAGACATAAGAGTGGCATTGATCTGCTCATCTAACTCTCTGCAAGACCCCATAATCAAACTACTCCTCTAAAGTTTAAATTTAACCTTAAAGTCTATGGGTTTGAAACACTAGAGAAACACTAAAGACTAACATAAAAACATATTTAAAGTCAAAAATCAGAATCCGCATGTGGACTGCAACACATTGTGAAATAGAGAAGATAAAGGAAAGACAAAAGAACAATAGAAAATTTTTTATTGGATATTTGGACTTCCTAGATCTGGATTTTCAGCCCACTTCTCCACTTCCTCAGAAGAGTCACCGATTTGGGCTCCAGTCCAGCAGTACCATTTCTGTCTGTTTCAAAAGTCTACACTTGGTCCGGCCCATTCAAACCACAGGTTTCCTACAATGATGTTACAAGAATAAACAATGGGAAAGTACTGTATTTGATGTACAAACTGTTATACAATGGTATAAACACATTTAACCCTTGTGTACCAGTGGGCGATTTTCCTGTTTAACATTCAAAACCTCTCACAACTGTTGTTTACTTGTGCGTCATAAAACAATATTTTTCAAATACGCTTATTAAAACACACACATCCTCAAATAGCGGACGAATAAATCTACTTACAGTGAAGGCTCAGTTCCCTGTGCTGATCCTTCATCCTGTCATTACACATGAACATTTTCCTGTACCTCTGAAAGTCACTGACTTGAAGACCACATATGCAGATCACATTCTTCTAATATTTACTCAACTGTTCTGGAGCGTGGGGGAATATACAGATAACACAGCTGTGTGTTAGTTAAACCAACACTTTTCACAGGTTCACAAATTTACCATGGTTCACGATCAAGTATGCTAGGTCAAAGGTTTGTAAATTAAATTATCCATAAAGTCCACATTTTTTCCTAAAGAGACAAGAAGAGGTGGAGAGTTGACAAAGGGAAACGCGTCAGTCTATATTTTCTCTTGCTTCTATTGTATTTTTTTATGTTATTTTAAGGTGCGTTAATTGTAATTGTAATTGCATGAAATGACAAAAATTACGTGGCAATGTGAATTGCTGCAGAGCTGTTGGTACGCAAGGCAGAAAGGGGGGGGTGATGGGGCAGCGGATAGGACACATGCCTTTGGTGTGAGAGACCCGGGTTCAATCCCCCACTGTGACCCATCCACCAATGTGTCCCTGAGCAAGACACTTAACCCCTAGTTGCTTCAGAGGCGTGCGACCTCTGACGTACATAGCAACTGTAAGTCGCTTTGGATAAAAGCGTCAGCTAAAATGAGTAAATGTTGGAAATGATCCGCCATTTTGGGTCCTAGCCAGCCTCTGTTTCACACGTGTAATTCCTTTAAGTGTCGATCCATATTCCAAGATAAAAAGGTATCAATTACTCTAATGCAGTGGTTCTCCTTGTTGAGGGTTCCTGGGGGTCGATTTTCACAATATTTCCATCCATAAGTAACACAATGACAGAATGTAAGACTATTTTGCTCATACATTTTCTATAATAAATAAAAACATGGTTGTGTAGAGTAGCAGTGATGTCCCGACGGTGTAAATTTGTTTTTGTACAAGCTTTAAAAACATTTGATAGCACCCCCTTTGCCCTCTCTGTAACACTTTGCATTGTGATCTTCCAATTAAGAACCACAAACCTACAACCTACTTTAAAACATTAATGTGCCTCTAGACACCTTTTTTTTTTTGGTTTTTACTTCCAAATCTACTTTCACTTCTACTCTTTAAGGCACTCGCTGGTTGCAAAAAAGAAGGCAGAAAGAAGCTACTGTTGGCGGAGGAATAGAGATTTTTAGGCGATAAATTGTGTAAAATATTGTTCTCTACATGAATTAGATGTCTCATATTTTATATTTATTAAACTATATTTGTAAAGTGAGTAGAGATTAAGCAAACAATTCAATTTCCTCAGAAAGATTTAAGGATCTGGAAAGCGAATGCGGCAGTTGGCTTGGAAAAGCTGGTGAAATTTTGGTGAAAAAAGGTTTTCTAATATCAGAACTGGCACTGAAGACAACCTCCAAAAGAATTTTCACATTTCAACCGTTTATAAAAAGTACCACCAGATTATTTAATGCACAACTGTTTCCCCTCTTATTTCTGGCTACACTCATACAACATCCAACTCAAATGACAGTCCAAGCCTTGAATTACACACACAACAACACACGCAGTAAGTTTGTTGAAGTTATTTGGCACCAAAGCGGCTTTTAAAAAAACAAACAAATTTCTTAGAGAGAAATGCCCAC